CTACCGAAGCTTCAAGCAACCGTAACACAAGTTGCGCACTTGGTACGACGGATATCAAACAGAAGACACGGCTTGAAAGAACACGGCACCATCAAATTGATCCAAGCACTCGTCATTAGCACAATTACTTATGGAACCCCTTAGTTGGATCTCAAGAATTCTGAAATTCAAACGCTGAATACCCTTACACGAAAGGCCATTAAAACTGCCATAGGAATCTCTGAACATGCTTCCACTCAGCGACTACTACGTTTAGGTTTTCACAACACCAGGGAGGAGCTCACAGAAGCACACAAAGTAAATCAACTCGAACGGCCTAGACTAAGTGAAACATGGCAAGCGACACTTCGAAGATTGGGTTATTTATTCTGAAGCAATGAAAAAATATGATGAGGAAAGGATTATTCCAGCAACAACTAGACAGTACATCTCAGTAGCCCTCATCTCACAAAATGTGCATCCTACCTATCATTTCGAAAGAAGAAAAGCCAGAATAAAGAAGCTCCGACAAGATTACGATTGCAATGCAGGCACAAGATACACTTATGCAGCGAAATAGCCAAGAATCCCAGCCCACGCTGTCAGTGTAGTCGACAGCGATGGCAAAGAGAATCGTAGTATAGTGCAGAGCAAAAAGACACACACCAAAGGAGCGAAAGAATGAGGATACAGCGCATTCTTCCAACTAAAGTTTATTTGATTGGGACGCACGTATATATGCACAGCCAAAGCAGGGCCGATACGTCAGCAGGGCCAATAAGTCACACACGAGCACTACCACCGCCCCCTTTGCATGTCTCGCCAAAAACAAATCTCTTTATCGGAAAGGTGCTAGGAAGGCATGCGTCCTTAGACCGTTTGATTTCTTCAGCCTCAATTATTTTCCTCACCTTTCAGTCCCGATTGCGTGCACGGACCAGTTTTTTTCAAAGATAGGGCTACACTTGCAGTCCAGCACATGGATGCCAAGGTGTCCCGATACAGTGGTATACATGCTAATCAACTTTTGTTGGAAGAATGTGCTGTGTCCTCGTTCTCTCGCTAGTTTGGTGTCTGTTTGTTGCACTGCACCACACTATGATTGACTTGTTCCAACTCACCCAATAAGCAGTGTGGCAAAGAGGGAACGGCAGCTAGCATGTTAACTACAGAAATAGACACGGCAGAAGAAACAGTGAGAGAGCGCCAGCAGTCACAGCCTGTGCTGACACAGCAATTATACTAAATGATTCACAAGCAGCTTGTTGAAATTTTCAGAACAGGAGGATTCCAAGCAAGACTTAGGAATTCTCACCACTGCAGCGAAGATGAATCTACCTGAAACGTACATCGTTTAGACTCCAGGTCACGAGTTCCTGATGGGAAAGTGAGGCAGCCAGTGCTTCCGCCCGAGCTCGTGTTCCCCGGGCCATAAAGAAGAAAGATGTATTTAAAAAGTACAACGATATACTGCAACAATACAGGCTAACCAGAAGAATTCATTTGCCAGCTCACCCCAGCCTGACTAAAAAAGAGGCAGTAACCCTCAGGAAGCTGCAAACCAAGCACTCGTATACCTGCAAGCACTGTGATGTTCCGGAAACACTATTCCATGTGGTATGGGGATGCAGACAAAGCCCTGGAGCCACTGCACTACCCAAAGAGCAGTGGGAGGCCGAGTTATTAGACACAGGCCGGAAGAATTACACAGCCTGGACTAACGGGCACGAGAGATGACGAACGCCCCCCCGGCTACTGGAATAAGGAGACCGCCCACCTTGGGCCAAAATGCGTATGCTCAAATAAAAGTTTATTATCTCTCTACGACACACAGCTTTCACTGTAAAAGGAATAAGTAACCTTATCGCAAAAACAGTTGTGATACCAAGGTAGACAGACGTCGTTGCTAAGACCACAAACAATATATTTCGTGGGAAGTCTTTTATTCATACGCGAACAAGAAGAGGCACTACCATCTTGTGCTTGGTGCGGCGTCATCTTATGACTGAATTCTTGTGGTGCGCGCTAGTCATGGTTTTCGCAGCTTCGAATAGTCTTCGAATAGGGAGTTCATAACCGGATGGCAAAGTTCACTTCTATCAGAACGCATTCTCAACGCTGGCACGACAGCGAAAAGAAATTTTGAGCTTCACCTTAGACAATAGAACGCGATAGCATAATCTGAACATGTTCGTATCTCCTTGCCAATTGCTAGCCTCACTTTGCTTGAACGTCGATACTTATAATACCGCTAGGAAAGACAATGTGCGGACGTACGCCGGCTCCTATATCCATGCATGCGGCGCGACAAAGTATGAAAAGCGCCGCTATGGAAACTTTTTGCAGATTCCACGAGTGATAATTGAGCATCTGAACCATCTTCAGAGATGTGCGTGTCATGAGGCTAAATCGTGCATATAGATAGCTCGCCGTGTATGCTAGAAGTTGTATGCGTTGTGGCCAAGCGGCTAAACGTATCACGAGCGAAGATTCGAATCCCTGGTCCCAATCGAAGGGAAGGGTTATTTCTTGATTTGCATCCATTTAGAATTTACACTCACAACCAAAGATGCCGCCACCAACCACAACAGCAGAATTTCTTCAAAGCGAGCTTTACCGCTATTGTGTTAAAGAGTCGGGCATAGCTTGTGCTAGTGGCACAAGACTAAAGGCACCGCGGAGCTGATTGTTTGGTGTGACCGTGCAAATGCGAGCAGTGTCGAAGCTAGGAGGTGGAGCTGAGCGCTGTGTGCGTGTTGTACTTGTGCTCAACTGGTGGCAGAGTCTCGGTGAAGTGGGCAGCGAGCGAGATCAGGCGCAGGTGCACCATGAAGACGTCACGTTGCAATGCACAGTATCGCGCAGCTGGTGACGGAGGTGCGTCTGGGATGAGAGGAGCAAGTGTAAAGCTGCGCGCACCTGCACCGGCAGTTGATAGGCAGCGCGAAGTCAAGTCATGGCTCCGCTAGAGTGTACTAGGAACTAGTGTACTAGCACTTTGAGGTTTTTTCGCGATGAACATAATACAGCTGACTAAAAATCTCCGTTAATAACAAAAAAACTTAAGGCGCATCGTGTTCCCTTTTGCTTCTCTGAGGTAACCTACATGAGGCATGCGGAGATTGTACACGGGAAGCAACAAGCCATTTCCAATTGCTTAGGCTTTGCACACAACGCCACCTTTTACAACTGTCGCTGCAAAGAGCAACCACAGCGCCATTCCGATTATGCAGGGAGACGCTCACTTGACTACAACACAGACCTCTTCAGCAGAGCACGTCCACAGCCTAGTTGGTACTTGCTATCTTAGTATCAGCCATCTTCATTTCATTACAAGAAGGTAAAGGAGTAGTAATGTAGGACACACACCTTCGGTATGCCACGCACAGTGTAGTTTCGGTAGCATGTTTCTATACACCAAAGAGCACAGTACTGAAACTTCCAGTGACAGTGACATGCGACAGTGACACATAAGCCAAGCAGACTCATCATGCATGTCATACAACCGCCAAAATTTCAATGAAAGGAAAAATTTCTGCCTAGTGTTGCTAATGTATCACAATTTAACTAGTGTCACTGAGGGCTAGTAACCTAGGCCATGCCACTTCACATTTCTATTTCGCCAGCATTATAACTGCCAGGACCGAAGTCGACAGTGACCAAATGACGTCATACATGACGTTTGCTCAGGTCACATGACCCTCCCATATGTGGATTAGACTGGAAGTTTCACTGTCACGTTCTTTACAATACTAAAATTAGTATTTTATAGAGGCAGATAGACCCATTTGTAATAAGGTTATGAAGACTCGGTTGTAACGACGTTCATTCTCGGGAGCAAACAAGCACCGCGGATCTGATGAAGCATACACCCGAAAACAATGATTATCAGCCCAAACAGATGCTCATGATTGACTGCTGCTCAGATTAAATTGAAGTGCATAACAGATGCCTACTATATTTGTTGGTGTATCATGTCCCAAAACCACGATATAACGAGAGATGCCGAAGTCAAGGGCTCTGGAAATACTGACCATCTGGGGTTCTTTTACGCATGCCTAAATCTACACACACGAGTCTGCAGCATTTATTTCGGTTCTATCAAAGGCGGCTGGAATTCAACCCCTCGAACTTTGATACCATAACCACTAAACTATAGACAATTGTAACACACCAAGTTCAATTTTATATTTATAAAAGAAACAAGAGGAGCGCATTTTTCTTCTAATAAGTGACAATTTTTACCGATTATAGCTCTGTGCGGTGGCACGCGTTCAGTGGCTACTGCAGAGAGGAGAAAAAAGATAGAATAAACAGTGATGGCTCTATTTATACTGCCATAGTTATTATGAATAATTTAACGACTTTCACAGCCACTGAAGTCCAACTTTAAAAAAATCACAGCATATCCATGGAGTGAATGATGAGTGGGGCGAAGCGTCCGTATGTCCATCCATGAGTGCGTCCGTTCGTGCATCTGTCCACATCTCTGTCCGTCCATCCGTGCGTGCATTCGTCCGTGTGTCCGTTCGTGCATGCGTCTGATCGCGTTCGAGAATGCAGACGGCGCCCGGGTAACACCAACGAGACGCGAGCCAAGGAAGCCGAGCACAAGAGTCTTCAAGGTGCCTGCAGCTCTACTTCGTCCATGCTCCACCAACGTCCACCCTGTACAGCGACTATCCAGGAGACTGAGGGAAGCACTCCCTCGTGCACCCAGGCACAACACGCACAGCAGCCAATCGGAGAGCAGGAGTACAGAGCCATCTAGAATATGCTCACTCAACTGCAGTTTGTGTGTACTTCTATGAGACAGTGCCGTCTATTATACTGTTCGTGACATACTGCTTTCCCTTTCCTTCTCGTTGCTTCTCTCAGTTACGGCACACACAGGACAAGGTTGGACAAAGAGGAGCTTGGCCCCTAAAAGCAGAGTCATTGATACCTCTGAGGTTGGTGACATGCATTGCTTGTAGGGACGGAAACACTGCGATGGTAAATCAAGAAAAGACAGCACTCACGCTTGCAGGTCGAAGCGAATGGACCTCAGCACAACCAAGGAGAGGCCGAGGAAACTGCACAGCTCGGCATGCCGCCGCTCCAGTGCCATCTGCTCCTCGTTGTTTTCTGCAATCTACAACAAGAGAGCAGAGCGCATTTGCACCAGCTATGTACCATGTATAACTAGAAAATTTAGCATGGAGCGAAGCAATTGAGCAAGAAATTGAGCATGGGTTTAGCATGAAAAACGATATACAGTGAGCAGGTTTACTATGACAAATACCGTGCCTGCATGGAAACTGTCGACAAGCAGAGGTTTGCACAGCTGTTCAATAAACGTGGGGCTCTCAATACAGCAGGGCCTCTTGATACTTTGAAGTTATAATGCATGCACGCCAGTTGCTAAGTTGCTGCCCAACCAAACAGCACAAGGTCGACCCGTTTAAACTCTGAGGCCTTTGAATTAGTCATGATCACAGCATGAAGGACAGAAAAATTTTGAAACCCACCCACTTAGGTCACATGAATTAAAGACTACTTAACAAATGCAGCTTGTTCTAGACATGTATAAAATAAATTAATGCAGATGCAGATGCACTCAGTTCAGGCTGACAACACCAACTGCACAGCACCCCCCCCCCCCCCCTGTAGACTGTCTACGCTGTCTTTGTTCGTATCAAGTGATGAGCACTTCTTACTTTTGCTTCGAGTTCTCTGATGAGTTCCTCTTTTTTCTCCAGCTCCTGTTCAAGCCTTGCCTGCAAGGTTTGACCTGAAACATTTAAAGAAAAAAAAAAGAAAACATTAGCAACTTGCACAACAGATAATGCTGCATAATGCAACGCCATTACGGTGTGACTATTTCTTTTCCTGCAAAACGATTGAAACAACCCATTTCAACAAGACCTCACAATGTGCCTTTTCTTTCAGTGTCATTTACTACCACCATAATTACTATAATCAACAAGTTTTTACTCTGGTTTATCTGCTCTTGCTTTCAAAGATAGAGTTTCAATGTTTTATGGTTTTTACCCATGTGAAAATAGTGCAAATGTAGCCACAACTTGTGCAATGACATTTTACAATGCCTTTGAAACTACCTAGCTATACTGATTGTTGTGGCAACATTAAAGCAACATTTATGGCATTACTGCAACACTGAGGCAATATTGTGTGAATTGGCGCTACTAGAGAAAGTTCCATGTGCCATTATTCATAATACATTAAGGAATTTCAAACACATACAATATCGCAGGAATTCCACATTCCTTGTAACAGTGCTAAAGCACAGTTTAGAGGTGTTCAAATAGCTGATAGATAACCAATAAAACGGGTGAATGAACTTGTGAACAAACTGCCTTAGAGGCAGTTTCCGGGAAAGTTCAAGTAGCTGATAAGGTGATCACTCTTGTTCTAATCAGACAAAAGTTTTAACGCTTTGCAGTTTGTTGTCCAACAGCCCCTGACAATGCAACACGGCCGTAGCGGTCCGCTGTCGAGCACAACCCAACAATGATGTTTGTGGTGTAAATTTAGCGGTATTCTCACTGCAAATTGCTCGCATTTTTAAAACACATGAAGTGTCATCTCTCGAAGAATGGATGAGCTTAGTTTGTTGAGGTTTACTTTTTTTTACACTAGGGTGCAGCACTAACTTCAGTACAGAGACTAGAGCGTACCCACTTTGGCGAGGTTCACTGAAAAGTATGGCCATGTTTTCACTTCATGCGTTTTACAGTGGTGCTTTTCGCGAAATGCATGGCGACTTAAGTGAGGAAGAGAATTACATGCCCCCACCAGACAGTAATAGAGTGATTCGACAGAAGTGAGTAACGAAGACTACGATGACGGTGGTGGAGACAACCGCTCTGTTCTTCTGCAAAACCTACAATAAGAACCCTAGCCTGCACCAAGGAGAATGTATTGAGTGGTATCATATGCTGCCCAAGTACTGCTACAGGAGTAGCAAGCAGAATGCATGAACAGAAATATCCTGCGAGTTTTTCTACTACAGTTCACGTTTTTTTTCACGATGCCAGAAACTGGCAAAGTACAGTCGAATCACGATAATTCAAACTTGAAAAGGCCCCAAAATTTGTTCGAATTAAAAGAACTTCAAATTAATGAAAGATAAATAAACAGAGTGCTCTTCATGCAGTGGTGCATGTGCATTGAGCTAACACACGAGGGGGAAGTTTCAGAAGACTTATACGTATTCACAAATCACAGGACATCCGTTAATAATTGAAGTAATCGGTGATGCGCGTTTGCAAACGTTTGCCTTGCAGCGAGTCAATCAATTTAGCACCCAGCTTGCAAAGCATTTCTACTTCGGCTTCAGCATTCTCCTGGCAAGAGAAGTTGCACGCGGAAATTTCCAGCGCCGACACTCTACAGAGGACGACAACGACTGCACAGTGGAGCCTCTCCGCTATGCAGCCGAAGCATGGCCAGCACGTGACGAGAAAAGAGAAGCGTCTCCACGCGGAGGAGAAGCAGATTGGTATTTCAGAGAAAACCAATACTCCACGGCAGCTTTTTTTTTTTTATTTGCTGTCTTTGCCTGCGTCGTTGAAGGGAGAAAGATTACATGGCAGGAACGGAAAAGGGGGGAAACGTGGCACCGGTACATGAGACCCCGCCCCCTCAAGGCACAGAGCCGTGCTCCCGCAAGGGGGCAAGGGCTGCAGAAGAAAGTGCCTTTTTTCTTTCCGTCAACCACATATTCATTCAACTCAGCAACAGCTTTCTTTTTTTTTTCTCTCTCTCTCTTTGCGCTCGACGTTGGAAGGAGAAGGGTCTCTACGTGGCAGGGACGAAAAAGGGAGAAGCGCGACACCGGCGCATTGCAGATCGGCATTTGAGAGAGAGCAAACATTCACTGCAGCGTTTACTTTCCTTTTCATTTCCTTCGCGCACAGCATTGAGGTGTCGCAGGTGCCGCAGCAGGATCGGGCGGGGTGCTGAGAGCAGTTTGGGAGCCTGGTATGTTTGAATTAACCGTCGAAAGTGCTTGCCGTTCGAATTGCCGGGCGTTTTCGCCCATTGGAATACACATAGCTTTGATGGGACCTCATCGTGAGTTCTAACTAACCAGAAGTTCGAATTAAGAGTGTTAGGATTAATGAGATTTGACTGTACTTTCGAACCCGTAGAACCGGAAAGTGGGTAAAAGTTTTGGGCCGCAAAGGATGAAGAGTGTCAGAAAATCCATCTAATTTTACATTTTTTTTGGTTATTGTGTGAGGCATAGGTTACAGATCTTCCAGATAACATTTCCTAGAGCATCAAATTTTTTCTCTACGTCACACAATACTGGTTTTGCAGTACGAAAAAGTTTGTATAGAACAATGACAAGAAAAACGGTACGCACCTCCAGAGCTGCCCACGTTCTCTTCAACTGATATCTTTGATGGTAGGCTGCGTAATGACAAGAGACGGCAAAAGCATGATACTCAGTGATTACTCAGTGGTGCCTTGTGGTTACTCAGTGATACTCAGTGGTTACAAAAGCATGATACTGAGTAGTTACTCAGTGGTACTTAGTGATACATACCGAGTGGTTACAAAAACAGAATCCTCAGCGATACTCAGTGATACCCAGCCCTATTGTCACATGTCACCACCATATTGTTGATTGTACTGCCAGTATGTTCTTGTGAACATAAAGATAATAATAACACCAAGAGCATTACTAATTTATCACTCTGAAGCACAGTTTTGAAAAAAGCAGAGTGGTTTTTCATACTCCTATGCCATTGATGATGATGATGCCTCACATATAGCTCATACCCACTCAAGGAGATCAGCCAAGAAGCGATTATACAATTTAGTGCAACTTTTTCAGTATTCAATATCAATGCCCAAAAGAAAAATGGCGTACGTAAAACAGAAAGAATGCAATAATGGTTTTTTACCCATTCATATCAGCCAGAACTTATGGATAGAAATTAGCACGATTAAAAAAAAACCTTTTGATTTTAAATATGCCATTCTTCAAACTATCTCTGCCTGCTCTTAAAGCAGTTCTCCACTATTAGTTCATGTCCCAAGTTGTTGTGCACTAGAAGAAAAGTCTGACACACTACCTATCAGTGGGCAACTTTGCGCCCAGCAATAGGCTGAAGATTTAAAGCAGAATGATGACTGCAAGCGTTTTCGTGTGCGAATGGGTTGCTCACTACAAGAATCAATGATGGAAGTGACTTTACGTTTTGGGGCAGATTTAAAAGCAGTAAAAGTACTGCTTTGGAGCTGCAATGCATGTTTTCGGTGCAAAAAATAATTCAGTTCGGAGCGGCTATCGGTGCTTTAGCAGCAGTAGCAGAATATTCCATACAACTTCTGGAGTTCAAAGGTGCACTGAAGCATCTCAGAAAAATATGAATGTTCATTACTAAAGGTATTTTATTGACAATAATCAGCCTTAATTGGAAAAACTAACAATATATTTCATAAATTAAAAATATAACAAGCACAACTTGTATGACAAGCACTCACCTGCTATGTCCAGAGTGGTTCAAACCAGGGCTGAGCACTCCAACCTGTGCAAGCAGACAATATTGTCTGAAAAGGCTCCCGAGTTTTTCGCACGAAAGCAACAATACGACCAGTAGGCACTCCGTAATGAGGGACGGCGGATTAGTATTGACCGCACGAGGTTCTTCAACTTCCACCCAAACTTAAGTGTGCAACTTCTGCCCCAGAAAAACATCAACAGTACAAAGAACAGTTGTAAAATCATAAAATCTGATGTATCTGTGAAAAGCATCCACTCAGTGCAATCACAGGTGCTAGCACAAATACTAGGAACTGAAACACTTTTTGCATCAAGCATGCATTGTCAGAATTAACAATGGGGTTTTCGATACATGAAGGCCAGTGTAAACGCAGTTCAGCAAGGTAAAGTAGTTTAACCTGTGGAATATTGTAATCAGAAAGAAGGAAAGAATAAGTTGTCAACTTCAAGTGATGCCCAGCAAAGAAATACTAACTCGAAAAGCCTTGTACAAAAACACAGCCTTGTTTTCGAATTTGTCAAAGTCTACCAATACTTTCCTAACAGTGTTTGTAATATGTTTGCTTTACACTGTGTCACAGGTTATCCATCCACAAACATTAGCTCACCCCATGCCCTAGGAGTAAAAAACAAAGTAGGTGCAACATATTCAAAAAAGTATGGGGCGTAGAGTGTCTGCTTTCCAATGAGTCTATTGCACGTTAGCTAACAGAGGCTAAAATTGAGCGACTTTTGCAAAGCATAGTCCCCAATTCACATCCTTCGAGAGAGCAGAATCAGTGCTCTCATTTTCGTGGATGAAGTCGGCTACTCACATCGGAATGTCGGCGTCGTATCAGGGAGCAGTCCCAAGAGGGCAGCCTCGGAATTCCGCAGAATGGAAACCGTGATAATCTAGATGAGCTTTCTTGATGCTGCAATGACACATCGATAAACAATAACATGCATGAGTCTTTAGAAGGCAAATACGGTGTGCTCACCCGTAAGCCTAGGGCTGCACTGCTTTTTGCAACTTGTCTAATAGCGCTATGCTCTGCACACAAACTGTACCCCTCAAATATACACTGTTGAGACCTATAGCTTTTACTCCGGTTAATTCTATCTTAACCAAAGATCTTCGATGGTGCGTGTGTACTGTATTTTTTTGTCTATAACCCACCCCTAGATCTAACCTGCTACCTTACATGAATACCCTGCCGAATAAAAAGAAACTGTGCATGCCTTAGCTATAGGTTCCATCCACGGAAATTCATTCGATACATTGATGGAAATGACCCCAGAACTTTGATCAAAGCTGGTGATGATGAGGGCCTATATGCATGGCTCACATCCGCTATGGGTGATCGGCCAAGAAAAGAATAGATAGAAGTGATCACATATAAAGTGTACAATAAATTAAAATGGTTAGGGAAAGTTAACAGAACTAATTAAGAAAGTTTTGATCAAAACCACTCCAATTATATAAAGAAAATTTCTAGAGATTTTGCAATTTTTTTACTTTGTTCCAGTCACCTGTTTAAACCAGCTGTCATTGTCATTGATACATTCCTTTCATTTTTTTTTGCCACTTAATTCAACACACCAGATGATTTAACTAGTTTCATCAGTCCTTTTCAGGATTGAATTAACGAAGGTCAACGAGTGCGCTTTGAACAACCCCAACGACAGCTCACCGGCGTGCTCGCATACGGGAGGTCCAGCGCACTGAAGAAGAGCTCGTCGCTGATGGGCTGGTGCGATGAGGAGGAGGACAGGTCCAGCAGGAGGACGCTGGCCGGCGAGATGGAGCGCACGCCCTCGTCGCTGTCCAGGTTGGCCTCGCCAGCGGCTGCCGCAGGACTGGTGTCGTGCAGCTCCGTGCCGGTGATTGTGCTGGTGTCGCCGACTATCACAGAGTTCCGCTCGTACAGCGCTTCTCTCAGCCTGTATTAGCAAGAAGTTTGGCTATGTTGACCATTTCTGCAATAAGTTCCCAAACCCCACCAGGATGACCAAGCTGTGGGACTTAACAGCAAGAGGTAAAGTGCAAACGATGCAGACAGGCCAGAAGGAAATGATGCATATGCCTCTTCAACACTGTCACGTGGTAGTGACGTGTACGAAGCTCACTAAAGGCCTCTTGAAGGTGAAACACTATTTGGCCGAACTTGTGGCCGTGAAACTGAAAGTCTGGTTACAGCAAGCAATGCACGCTGTACCCTGTTACTGGCGCACAGTGCGTCAGTCGTCAATAATCTGACAAGTGGTGAAGAACGTCGGCATCTATACATGCGCCATCGAATTTTACAACTGTATGACTGGTTGTCGCAGAAGCTCTGAAATAAGCTGGAATGTTTGCGTCTGGCTATCCATCTTAACAAAATGATCTATTACAATCATGAAGTTTGCACTGAGCCTTACTGACAGTATGTGGTCGTAAACCGAATACAGCAAAAGTGAATTAAGGAACACGCATGAGAATATTTTCTCAGCATACACCTCTCCTACGTCTCAACATTCACTTCTCCATCCTTCAACACCAGTAATATCTGCGTCGCATGGGTATTTGGAAGGACATCTAACCGATAGCTAATTGACTCAAGGATCAAGTGTAGGCTGCTACACGGGACGTTTTGAAAGCTGTCGAGTCGATGTCTATTGAGTCGAGGAGGGACCCCACAACTCCATCGAAACTTCGATGGCCACTGAGCGGCAGGAGCTGAAACAGCACCGACGTGCCCTCTCATTTACAGCGTGCTTGTAGACACGACTAAAAAAAGTAATCTAACCAGTAGGCCTTAAGAGAAGTAACTGGGAGCACCGTATAACCAGTGGGCTTTATAAGCAGTAAATGGGACCATAGTGAACTTTAATAGAGTACTTCTACTACTATAAACATATGAATTGCACATGAAGAAGAAGAAGAAGGTGTTTGATGAGAAGAAGGAGGAAAGGTCGGCTTTGAAAGCAGGTTTCTGGCCTCCTACTCCTCACGGGAATAAGAGGAAAAGGGAAAGAAAGAGGAGGGTATGATGAGGGGTGATTGTGGTATAGCACAATGAGTCACTGCACACAATGTCTCATTCGGTGTAGTACACGCATGAATTGCACATACTTTAGACAACAGCAACACGCTAGCCTTCATCGTGCCATCTCGCAATGTGTCACTCATCGAAGTTTCGCTGCTCAAGAAAAAAGCTAACTGCATTCATAACTACAAGTTAAAAGTACATTAAAATAATTAAACATCAAGAGCGCATTTGAATTTTGAAGTGAACTTATGCTACTTAACTTTAGGTAACATACATTCGAACTCCGCTAGATTGTATGCTGCTTCAACAAAATTTCTGCTACAACGAAAAATTCACGATTCCCCATCAGCAGTCTATAGGAGTCAATGCATAAATATTTTCGCTACAACGAACACTTTTTCTTCGATCCTCCCGCTTCAATGAAATTTTAGGATGCAATTTCAGGCTCAGATACTTATTTCTATGCAGTAAACCAAATCTTTAACAATTTTATGCGTTTTCAGAACCTGAAAATGCATCAACAAAGTCTAAAACACGCGTTGGCACCACTACAAACTGCCAGTGTTCAGCAAGCATGGGCGCCGCCATTGCTCGATAGCGATGGCAATGAGACTGCCCTGCTTTTGCCACTGGCTTGCTTTTGAGCCGCAGACGATCTGAAGCTGAATCTCAGTCGCTCAGTTCATGGCTTCCTTTATGCAGCTGCTGGGCGCAACCGCGGAATGATGCCTTTTCTGGTTCCGATGCTTATCATTATGTTCGCACTTGGCCAGTGTGGTAACTAATCAGAGTGGCTGTTCATTCGCATTATCAACAAAATCAGTTAGCTGAGAGTGATGGATGATAAGAATGGCATAGAATAATGCAAAAGTCGCTGCTTCATGATAACCTGCCTCCATCTCGGCGTTGTCAGCAGACAGCTGCTGGTGTTGACGTTTTATTGCAACTGCTTGGTTCGTTCACGAAGGCGGTTATAGGTGTTGTTTCAGCCTGCTTTTCCCCATGGCTTCGCTATGAATGGGTGAGAATCATGTCATGACGCTGCTGAGAAAGAATAGGAAGCAGTGGACATTTTTTGAATTTTGAGAATAAACGTTCCTTTGTTTTGTTAGCTTATATCAACTATATTTTTTCAATTTCACTACAACGAAAGTATTTCCATGCCCTGTCAGTTTCCTTGTAGTGGGGTTCAACTGTATATACAAAAAAATAATGACTTTCAGCACAACACAATTTTTAGCAGAAGACTGCTCAGCCACTCAATCTCCGTTGGAAACTGCCGCGCAATAGCCCGAAAACTCTATCGAGTCAATAAAGAGTTGTGGCATTTCGATGGCCATCGACTGGATGGCTTTTCAGAAGGGCCTGTGTGACACGGGGATAGCGTGCACGCTAAAAAACCAAACTCACCGAAGGTTTTCTACACGCTGCTGCCGCAATTCGTCCTCTGTGTCCTTCTGCCTGTGTTCCAGAGTCTGTAAGGAACACAGTAAGAGGCAAGGACATTGCTTTAACCAGATAAGGTGCCTATTTAGCATAGTGGCAGGTTGCATCTCAACCCGTTGCATAGAGACTATGCTTGTGCGCGTACTTGAGCACTTCCAATAGCGAAACACGTACTACAGCACTCGATTTCATTTTGATTTTAATTGAAACTACACAAAATTTTGACGCGTCCAAAATGAATAGATGTAAAATTAATCTGCATGAAATTCCCTTGTAAAAGTGGTTTTACTGCAGTGAAAGAATGCTGTACGGTGAGAATACTTATGTAAGAGAAAACCGCAATGCCGCAAAGCTTAAATTGAAGGTTGAATAAATATACGTATTACCCTCGCACCGAGTCATCATTTTTGAAGTTTAAATGATTATTAAACCAATTTATATGCTTTAAGTATTGTAAATTTTAAATCATTAGATATTTTATGGGTTATCACTTGCATTATACACACAAGTGGAAAGTTTTTTAGGAGGTTGATGAATAACGAAATGACAATGTCTGAAAATGAAACCAGCAGTCATACCTCGACAGTTTTGGACAGATCCTGGACCACAGCTGCACTCTCAGCAAGCTTGCTGGCCTCCTGCGCATAATAAACAGCAAACTATTGCACACATTCCCATAGTTGACGAGCTAAAATTCAATCTCATGCTACCTTGATGGTACAAGCAATGTGTAACTGAAAAGTCCCACAATGTTATTGTCACCTTTTTGGAAACACCATGTAAGAAGTGTTTTACTTTAAGCATATACATAAAGACTCGTTAATTTGACACCCGTTTGTAAAATATCATAACTTGGACACTTTCTATGGTCCTAGAAAGCCTATGCATTGTTGAATGGCACCAAACTATCGTTAACTTGTTGATATTTGGCCACGACCCAGTTAACTCTGACAATTTTCAATAAATTTAGAGCAGGAATCACCGCAAACATTTGACGCAGAGGAGTGAAAACAACATTTGCAGCCAACCGAAAAAGAGACGGCACAGTCTACATCGTCATCAGCCCGAGCCATACGGTAAGGCAGGTAATGATCTTGTCGATCTATTTCTAGTTAGTGCATATTGGGTTATTTAGGACAGGGAAGTCTTCAGCTGTGCTCATATTATGAACGAAGCCGTGAGTGGTGAAAATTGCAGCTTTAACAGTGCTTTATGCAAATTAAGTACAGTATTTACGTACTCATCAAGATAATGAAAGTGTACGGGAGTATTAGACCAACTGCTTTTCTTAAAACGTTTGATGATCCGAAATTCAGACATTTCTTGCAGTATCGTGTATGAACTAATGAACTTTCACTGTATTGAAAACATGAACCATCATTTTCAATATGAACAAGACTACGCCATGCTCAAGCAGGTACACTTCAATAGCACCGCGATCAGTTTTCACAAGAATCAATATGTCCATGCTGACCAACACATTAAAATGGGCAAGAGGGCAAGAAACAGCACGTGCTACCAGAAAGCAGCACTTTATAGCACAGTTACTAACGAGGAAATTTTCTGCTTTAATAAGGAGTTGCGTGACATACAGTTGAATCCGTGCCCTCCACAGGCATAGTAACAGCCAATGGGTTTCAACGTCCGAAAGCCACAATACGATTATGAGAGATGCTATAGTGGAGGGCTCTGGAAATTTAGACCATCTGGTGTTCTCTATTTCCTTCATAAATCTAAGTACACGGGCTTCAATCATTTACTCCTCCCTCTAAAATGCAGCCGCCGCATCTGGGATTCAATCCCGTTTCGCGTCGACAGTAGAGTACCATAATCACTACACTACTGTGACATGCTAGCGTTGATGTCTACAGCGGCACCGTGCTGGAATTGACTTCAATATCAAAGTAACACATCTTGCCATTTTCCAAGCTTCATGCTTGCTCAGAGTTGTCTATGCATACAGGCTATATGTATAGTGGAGTAATATGAGCTTCAAAAATCTGTGCCACAACTATTTCGATAATGCTTGTCTACACATTTTCCATAGATTTAGCATGCTGCTAACACCACCCCCTCAGAGTGCAAGCCTTGCGGCTGAACCCACCTGCGACAACTGCTCCCTGAGGCTGAGGTTCCGGCTCTCGAGTTCGCGGAGTCGCAGCCGGTCTTTGGCTACAGTCTCGGACGCCTTCTTCGCACGGACCTCAGACTTGGTCAATTTCTCCTGTAGGCTGTCCACCTGAAAGGCACAATTTCAGTTTTTCAATTCAACTTATTTATATTTTAAAGCTGCCCATGCACAGATGGCGTGCTGGTAATTTTTAAAGAAAAACATACCATACTTACTCGCATAATTTGCGCACCTCTAATAATTAGCCAGGTTTACTAAAAAAATATTTACTCGCATATTTTGCACTCTATGACACACCGAAGCCCACTTACCAGCGGGGACCAGAAAGACACTTTTGAGTTCAACACTTTAGATGAGTGTGCCCCTCACAGAGCAAGCGAGTGCAGGTGTACATGAAACCGGCTGCAAGTGCAAAGCATGCGAAGTCCTTTCTTATGTAAACTTGCCCCGAACTGCGGTTCCGAGAAATCCGTACCCAAACCTGTTGACAGATTGATGCAACTGCTCAGGCGCTTGCCTCCCTCTATCTCCCCATCTCTTCCACTGTGAGAATGCAGGCTTGCGACAGAGCATAAACTATTTGCTTCGTCAGAGGCGTGCGAAGAGGGCCTGTCGCACCAACTGTCACCCTCATTCACTGCGTCCGCACTACATACAACACAAGCTTGGTTATTTTGGAAGTTTGGGTTTCGCCATCTGTCCTTCACATTATTATTGATCACTTGCAATAGGCACTTGCAATAGGTATTTATATGTCTAAAGTCAAACACGTTATTGAATTTGCCGAAGAAAATTGGAACCGTGCTGCCGCCAGGCACTTCAACGAGAAGTACTGCAGAATAAACTGGAGATGGCAGAAGAGTGCACGTTTGCTAATACAAGTTTCTCGCCATGGAAAACCTTTTTAATTATGTGCAAAAGCTTAGGTCCTCTAATATCGCCATGCCGCGCCACCTGGTTTTTCCCAGCATAGCCAAAAAGATATTCACCAAAAAGGGGGATTTAGTCGCACTGAATGAAACTGACAACACTGTGCTTTGGAAGGGGGTGTGGCAGCAGCCACAACGATTCCGAATCAGACCTCTCGACCAACAATTCCGACCAGGCCAGACCTGGCTCCTTAAAGTACAAGCTAATTCTGTTAAATGAAGAAGTACACTTCATTAGTGCCTTACTTTTCCTTTTAATTGCACATACAGCACACGTTAGGACTATCATATTATTCTGGATGAATTCACAAAATCTATGTGCAATTAGCACATGCCATTTTCAAGCCTCTGCAACTGCGAAAAAAAGTAGACAAGGTATGCGAGTAAATAATGACAGAGAGGCTCAACGTTTCTCATGGCCAAGAGAAATCTGCACAAGCTGGAAACACCAGACTGGCACAATTGCACCATCACGTGCTTTTCTTGCATTTTAGACTCCCAGAGACACCGTTTGCCATGTTAACTTGGCACAATAGATAAAAGCCTTTGCAGTCCAGAACGAAATGGTGCCTCGGTAGGAGAGTATGCCTCCAAGAGCTTAGGCACTCGGGTGCGAGGTACGTGTGGTCTGGTCTATGGACATCATGCATACAGCAGGCTCTCAGAAAACTTAAATCTTAAATGAAACTGCGGCTTAAATAGGACAAGCGCCTCTCATATGACTGGTTTCATACTTGTATTCTGCACTTGAGTTTAGCTCTCGGTGAACTGACTACTGTTAAATGAAACATTTTCGCGGTCCCTTCAGGGACCGTTTAATGAGAGTCTCCGAAATTCCATTGCATGCTCTATAATATGTAATCATTCCTAACCTCAGACATCCTTTTCTCGAGTTGGCTCTCAAGTGCTGCCTTGGCCGCTCTGGCTTGCACCAGGTGCTGCTCTGCCTCCTGCCGAGCGACACTGGCGGCGGCCAGTGCAGCCTTCGTCTCCTCCAGTTCTGCACTGGCACTCCTCAGGGCCTCCACTTCTTGGCACAGGCTGCAGACGTTCAAGTGGAGGGCAGGGAGAAGTTTTTTAAAAAGTAAATTTTGAAGTTCTACAAGCCAGTTAGGCAACAAATCCTGATGCTTAATCGTAATTTATCAAGTTAGGGAAAATCATGTGTCAAAAGAGAGCTGTGATTACGAGAGATGCTGTAGTGAAAGATTTCAAATTTTGACTTTTTGACTATCTGAGGTTCCACAACATTCCAAAATTTTATTGCATAAACATTTTTTCCTTTTGCCAACTAATAGGTGTTGCTGATATGAAACCCGTGATTCATAGTTTAACAGCCAAACATTACATTCACTTGGCTGGATTGGCAGATTGCTATTCTCAAGCACTTGATGCTTGAAATAATGTACGTTTGGGCACATTGGCACAGCTTTTAAGGCTTTTATTGCGAGACATATTGACAGCATGACACAGGCAGGCTCTATCCCTTATGCGAGTCTTGCTCGCAAGTGCACGGACATTCAGTTCCTCCCAAAAACTGCTATTTGAACACTATTCCAGACATTTCCCTATTCCATATACATCGAAGCCACACAGCCCACCCAGTGACCTCGTGCACTGTGGAGGAACAGCGCAGATAACAAGACGAACATACAGAACGCAGTGCTGCTATAATATCTGGGGTTGTACATTCCAAAACCACAGCATGATTACGAGAGACGCCGTAGTGATGGGTTCTAGAATTTTCGACCACCTGGTGCTCTTTAATGTGCACAAACAGCACACAGTCCACAAGCCTCGATAATTTCGCCTTAACGAAAATGCGATCGCCTCAACTGGGATCGAAGTGCCAACCTTCAGGCCAGGGGGCGAGCACCATAACCACCGACTGCTCCGCCACAGCAGACGACACAGCACTGCAAGACACAGGACTGTGCCTCGTATGTTCTACATTCCATTGCTTGTGCTGTTTTGTCACAATGTTCCTGAACAAACTAGCCCACCAAAGAGCCCTTCAGCTACCTGAAAAGGTGGAGGAATCGATGCGAGCACACACCTTCGCACCCGCTCGAGCAGGCCCTTGTTGGATGCGGCTAATGCCTGGTTGGCCTCCTCGAGCTGCAAACACTGGCGCATCCCATCCTCTTTCTCCTTGGTCAGCCGCTGCAGGTTGTGCTGAAACTGAGACCGCTCAGACTCCAATTGTGCCAGATCCCTGGATAGACGGACCAAGAAGGCACGATGAATATAGCTTGTTCCACATACTGAGCAAACCTGCTACTCAGTTTTATTTTTTCTATTAATTGAACATATATTTTTGATACCCAGTGTACAAAATTGTCTACAGGATTAGTGTAAAGGCAAAAAAAGCCTCACAAAGCACCAATTGCCCATGTATACACATGAGTAACCCGTCATACATGACGAAACGAATGTAAGCATGGAGTGGCATCAAACAGTGCAATTTTATCAGAAATGAAGCAGAGAAATAGTTAACAAAAAGACAACATAAAAAATAAGCAGAATGACTTGTACACTGCAATGAGCCTATTGAGGTTACTTCGTATTGTATCCTTATTACACCATACTTGACAAGCTACCCCGTGTCATGCGACAAGGAATGTTAACACATCTTTATTAAACATATTGACCATACTTAAGTGTCGAGTCTTCGCTAACAACAATACACTCAGTAAAACAAAATTTGTGCCATTGTGCACAAAAAGTACACAAAATGTCAGCCATATAGACGAGAGCATGCCTATTTTGCACCCAGGTGCCTTCGGCAGTATACCCTCGCTCTCAGAGACACCATAATTTGTTTTGAGCTGCCAAGGCGTGCCTCGCTAGCATGGCAAGCAGTGGCTCTGGGACTTTAACATGTGAAAAAGCGTATGTTCATGCTGTGCTGACTTACAAGAAGTTATCTGGGTACCACTGCGCCATCTTCAGATGCAAAAACAACCAGAGCAAGAGTAAGGTATTACTAAACGCTGCCTGTGAAGATCCCAACACGATGCGGCAATCGTGCCAGTGTGGTGTATTCTGACTGGACAGATTTCCATCCGCAACGAAAAACGCTGAGCTCTGCCGCCAGTGGATATAATCGTAATTGGCAGAAATAACTACTAGTCAAAAGATGTACAAGTAAATATAATTATTGCGTTTACTCAAGCAGGACCCCAGCTGTTTCGCTTTGCAGCGGTGATTTGCATGCACTATGCCTGTATTGTATGCGGCATCAAATCACCCCGTACTTTTTCACAGGCCGCATGCCAGTAATAGGATATATTATGACTCGCGCGTGGATGCAAGCACCGCTCACGTATACAATTGTAACAGCGTACTATAGCGATACGAAGAGACGTGAACGGCACGAAAAGCATAGCTTTAGTCTCAGTCGAAGTGCGGCATGTCTTGACTCACTAGGCGAATCTGCTTTCGGTCAGCGTTGACGTTCCATTTTAAAATCTTGTTCTGGTTGGCACTTTCGCAATGCAAGAGTGTTCCGAGTGCCCGGAATGAGTGGCAAATGATAAATACATGCACTGGAGGAGCGTAAGTTGGAGCAAGATTCTAGCACTACGTTGACATCGACTTACACCCCAAACTCTGCCTTGCTACAGCCAAGGCACTCCGCAGTGCGAATGAGTGAAAAGCAACACTTTCTCCTATTTGCCTTTCTATCAATTGCAATAGTACGTAACTGATGAAGTTCCTTCCAAAGTCTGCAATGCGCGTGCTGTAGACATTCCGGACTGTCTAGGAAGGTCTCCCGACATTTCACACAAAATCAGCACAAAATACCAGGAGAGGGAGAGCGGGAAACATCCTTACAGCCAGACTCGGGTTGTGCATTTTCACGTTTGATTTGCGGAGCGTCTGCTCACGTGGCAGTGCAGAGGTGTCGCTTCGCCACGCTTGCAACAGATGGCGCGACGCGCTTTTCAATGTGGCAGCACGCACTGAGCTCGCTGTATTCTGTTGTATACAGTGTCATAGTAAAGAGCTCACACAATCATCCAACACTCCAGTTAGAACAAGTTTCACAAAACACCACACAAATAGGCACAGCAGCAATGTTCAGAAGAGGAGCAGAACTTCGTTGGCACTCACAGAATGCTGATGTCGCCTGCTATGCCTTCTTTGCTTCCATAGCTGAACATGGACACCTCCAGGGATGAGAGTATTTCTGGGAGGGACGAGCGAAACGCAGTTCTCATTAAAGCACCACACATCTCAAACATGCCAAATTAAAGGTACTGCGTTGGCATCCTAAGATTGCGTGCAACTCATACCACCAATAAAGTTGACAGTTGGAAGAGTTCGTGCTTTGCTCGAGTGCTCCATGCATTGCATGGACTTTACACAGCATAACAGCAAAGCATCGTGGTTCAAGTAAATGCGATGGGGCAACCATGAAAAAAGAGCACTAATACCCAATACATCTCGTTCCTACTTAACTGTTATATCCTTGGCAATTGTTTATTGCTTATTTTGAGGAATGGAATGGCAAGAAATGTCAAGGACAGAGCTATTCTGCATATAGTTTCTACGACGTTACATAGACATGTAGGGACACTTTGAAACTGTTCAAAATGTCCTCACAAGTCTATATAAGACCATAGGGACAATTTTAACATGTTTGAACTGTCCCTACAACTGTTGCTACTGCAGGCATTGGCTCTAAAAAATCTTTCAAACACAGGCCCAAATATAGAAATACAGCACCTAGATATTGTGACACTCAGTACAAGAATATATGGGCATATTTTTAGGCAAGATAAATAGAATTATCAGATGAAGCATAAATGAATCACAACTTTCACAGACATATCTAATACTACCTCCAAAATGATTTCACTAAGACTGAGGAAACTTAATATACTAGTGTAAAAAACAACTTGCAAGAACAAAGGTAAGCTGTTCCCCTTAAAAGCAGATATGGGCCTGTTATTTTCAGAGCTGCAAGTTCTCAATACAGACAAGACAAAAAGATGTATGTGAGAAACACATATGGTACCTGTCCTTCGAGTGCATGTTGCTTTTTCTTGCAAGCTTAGAAAGCCCTAGTAAGCTCAGTTATTTAAAAATTTCATAACATGTTCGTTTTTTACCAAGTTAGCAAGGTTACGGTACATCCAACCTGACAAATTAGCAAGCTTATGTTCAGTGTCAGGTTCAAAGGTTGCACAGTCAAGAAACTTGCACCACGATCTAAACCACAAACATTCAGAATTCGCTCTGAAAACTAACGTTGAAAACACAGCTGTCCAACTTGCCACACATGCATCAAGTGGCTCAATGACAACCTGATGTTGATCAATTATGACTTAGCGCAACATAAAGCAAGTGGCTAAGACCAATGATGGTTGCAATAGACAGTGGCCAAGTGCCATTTAATGTTATGCAAGTTGGAAAGTATGTCCGTTTTATTTTTGTACAACATTATTCCTGCAGTCTAAAATCTGGTGCCATCAACACTGCGCTGATGTCATGTTCAAGAGCTACACGGCATAACATTTCGTAGCAAGGGCAGTGAAACATGACACTGTCATAACTGTGAATTCAGGTACTTGGTTGTGGTATATTACAACTATGACCAGACAAGATGAGGTTGAGAACATATTTTTCTTGTTTATTTTTCCTCATCTTGTGCTGCCATGTTTATAATGAGTATTGCTCACAAACTTAAAATGTGTGGTGCAAGTATTTTTTCTGGTTGTTCTGGTTGCCCTTACGTGCAGCATTTGCAGAATTACGGCAACAAACTAAGCTAATTTAAGATGAAGTCATGAACTAGTCACCTCGTTTGCACTGTGATTTGAACTGGTTCACAAATGTAGGTCTTAACGAAGATCAGATTAACCCTGTGAGGCTTGTTCAGTATTCTTTATAGGCCTTAATGGCCTTCCGCTGGCTCAGCAAAATGACAAGTTGAAAACATCAAATTACAAATTTTTTATGCAAGTACTCCCACCAATGCATTTCAATATAATGTTAATGCCCACGCACACATCAGTCATGCACCACCTCCTCCCTACAGGCATCCAAAAAAAAACACCATATTCAGACACCCATGCATTTAGTCGAAATGCAGTTTCATTACTGATAACAGAAGGCAGCACAATTGCACAAAACGTGCAATAACCAGCGTGGAGGTCAGTATGACAGCCAGTGCCAAGATCATTACCCAGTCTAAACAAAGTGGGTCATGCGTGATGCTATTTAGAGCAACGGTGCGGCAGTCATGACGGGTGTGACTCTTAGTGCAAGAGCATGAAGTGTGACACATTTAGTGCAAGAGTGACAGTTACGTCACGTGCGGCACTTCTAGTGCAGCGGTAAGTAACAGCCAGCATAGGAATGCAAATGTCAAAACAGTCAAGTGAAAAAAATAAAGCGAGTCAGCAGGTGCTAAAGCGACGATTTAATGGTTTTAGGAGACTGGCAAGTGACACGAATGTCGGAGGCCACTTACGGTCGGTTGCGCTGACTGTCACCGTGACGACCAGCGGGGCAAGGTTTCCGGTCACAAAGAGTCTACCATAAATGAGCAAGCCTCCAGTGCATGCCTTGCACAATTCCAAAACTTCAGTACAGATCAAGTGCCAGTACAAATCATTTGGAACTTGAGAGCTAACTAAAGATTCCCTCAGGCAGAGGGATGTTCACTGTGTGGCCATATCACGTGGCAAAGTCATGTAAAGGCAACAATGGCTCTGTTAGTGCACTGTTGTCTTGCCCTCCCGAAGAAAAGTAGTGTCACGTGTGCAACTGCTTGCAAACCGAATGCTCTGATGCAACACTTCAGTCATGCATTCTATGAATTACAAGCTTCATCTTAGATAAGCATTACTCTTGTAGATAATAACGTACATCACAAGTTTAAAAAGTGTTGCACACTTTTATGTCTAATGTCTTGTATACAGCAATATGAAATTAATATGAAACAGTTGTACAGGTTAAACTTGAGAAAAAAATTTAGATTTAAAATTCAACGCCTTGACAGCCATGCCGAGAAGAAAGACCCCGGAGCATGTTTATTCGACGGTGGGCCCTTAACTCACCATGCTGGACCATAAAAGGAGAAGCCCTGTTCAGCAAACCCTCCTAAAAAAAATTCGTGGCTACGCAAAACCAATGGCGCCTTTGTACCAACATACACCAAAACATTTCTGTTTGCTTTCTTGTCGTAGACACAGGTGCCACACGTATTTCTTCAAACATTTGAATTTTTCTTGAAATTTTCCAAATTTTAGGTGCCTAAAACTGCATTTTGCCTGCTTATTTTTGGTGCCTAAAATGAAATCTTTAGTGCCTATAAATCCGGCCTCTACTCATTAGCAATGCATGTTCAAGGATCTGTTGCTCAAAGCATCTTCGTGCTATTGCCTGCATTTATCAGCCCAGCTTTGCAGCCACAGGCGGTGGATCTCTGAGACTCATCCCTTCTGCAAAATGTTTCCGTGAAGTACTGTGCACAGCAACGTGACTAATACAGCTGCTCGGCTCGCTTCATTACTGCCATTGCATTACCGCTGAGCAGAACCGCGTTTTCCTCTCTTCACTGTGTCGATTCAGCCTGTGTTAGTGCAGAGAAAAAAAAAAGAGGTTATAAGAAGGGCTCCCCTCCACTCTCACCTGCCGAAGAGCAGGTAGATGAAGTTGAGCGACCCGATGCACCTCCGCGGCCGCCACCACCCCTTTTAGTGCTACCAGCGACATCACCACCGCCACCAGCATGACGAAGAGGCGTGGAGAATGCAACGGGGCTGCTGCCCCCGCTGTGCGTGGGTGTGCACCCGCCCGACTTACTTGAGTCCAGCAGCACTGACAGTCCCGGCTCCCAGATGTCCCTGCACCAAGCATGCGCGAGATGAAATAAGATAGCCGCAGATGTCCTACAACACTAAACAGTAGCACTGTTTGGGCTCTTCAACCTGCTGTTCACGGGACCAGAGAACTACGTTGAGTTGACGCACATAGTATGTGCAATGCAATAATTCTGCCAGCATGCGCTCTCTTCACCTTTTTCATCTTTTGAATGACAAAAAGAGAGTTTGCTCTTAGAGACAAACATTCGAGAAATGAGGATAGTTATTAGTACACTTTTCTGTATCGCCTAGTAATTTGGCAGGTAGTAAGAATTGTGGCCACCACACTAACTCTGGTTGGCACAATGGATGAGTAATGTGGCATTTTTTCAACAGGTTCTATCTGAGAAAAACAACAAAGAGGCACAGAACAGATAGACAGAAGAGAAAGGAGAGCAACAGAAAGCAAAAAGTGGAAAGAAACACAGAAACAGATAGGGCAAAAACATGGTGACAAACAGAGTTGCCTTCCGCAAAGCCTTCAACAGTGGGATGGTGAGCAGGTATGCAATAGATATAAGAGACTGCAAGACAAGTGGAGGCCGAGAAAATAAAGAGAAAGGACAAAAATAAATCGTGGGGAAACTGAGGTCATTTTTCCATATGGGATAGAGGGCTGTGAAATTCTATAGAGAGATCAATTTAGGATCGGAACAAACAGCACTGGACAAAGGAAAGAGAAAGAACGACAGATGAGGGTGCTGATCATATGTCAGTTTTTCTCTGTCCTGTGTCCAGCGCTGTTTGTTCTTGCGCTAATTAGGCACCAACCAGCCGGGATAGGTGCTCTCCTGTAGATCAATTTAATTCAACTACACAAGGCATTCGGTCGACAACAAGAAAGTTCTTTTCAAACCTGGTAGCACACGGTCGCTGCCCCATTATAAAGCGAGAACTCATATCATCTATCCATCCACCACGCTGCTGTGTTTTATGTCTCATAACGAATAAAGAACCTCGGACTTGTTTTCCATCCACTTACAAAAAAGAACGGAACTCACTGGAGGTGCGCATTCCGCTGGTAGTCGTCGAGCAGGTTGCGGATCACTTTGGAGCCATGGATGTCCACGTGGACGTCACGCTTGCCGGAGGACCCATTGGTGACTAGGCCCTTGGACTCGCTCTCAGCCCACAGGGCATTGTAGACTTGGTTCAGAGACTGCTCGTCCTATGCATACGTTATGTGGAACATTGTTTAAGTGGGAACACTGCTCTCTAGAGGGGCCCACATCACTTCGCCACTTTTCCAAATAACCATCCAATGAATCTGTTAGATAAATTTATTGCTGCATGAACTGACCGCAAGACAAAAATTCTAGAATCCGTCAAGTGCAAGCCCAGTTGGATATTGCCAAGAACGTGCTGACGCTCAAGAAATTTGCTTTGGAGACTTTAGAGACCCTGTAGCAATACTATCTCTAATCTATGCTTTAGAAAAATGTCCCATTAGTTCTTATACAAACCGTTTATATTTGCACGTACAAGTTACGAGACGAACTGTTATGCATAGGTTATTTCACACTGATGTTATATGATTATAGCCCAGTTCTATAAGTGGTGTATTTTTACATTTATAATTGCAAACTAGTAAGACCTTTGATCATTACTTTCATTAGGTTGCTTTTTTTATTTGTTTGCTGTTTTTTCCGAGTTGCCAATCTTTTTTCTACATACCTTAAAATGCACCAACACAAGGCACCCCTGACAGCTTGTACATTGGGCCTGCCTTTTATGTAATATTTATAGCAACTTATTGGATTGAATAAATAGTCAGACTCTGCATTACCATGTGCACCAAAAGAACATTATAATAGAGGACATTCCAAGCTTCCAAAGATGTGGGATTATTGCACTGAGGGAGATGGCTAGATCACCTGAGCCGAACACTGGAATCCCTGGCTCTCAATGACTGCCATGAGCTTGTCCAGGGTGACTAGACCGTTCTCGGGTGCCTCGCACAGTTCGACCAATCGTTGTAGGGCATCGCTGACCGCACAGCCGTCCGGCTTGTCGACTTTGGCGATCACCTCTTCTGTCCCTTCTCCTTCGAACGAGTCTTCACCCTCTCCTCGACACCCGTTCTCCGGCGGTGGACTCCCGAGTTCGTCTGCGGGCAGGATCATGCCCTCAGGCGGTAGCGAATAGAACTGGACCTGTTCGTCGTCCTCGTCCATCCGGATCAGCGAAGAGTTCTGGGTGGGGTCCTAGCCCATGGCTGCACAGAGAAAGAAGGGGACAAACTATTAACCCTTCACCTCGAGTAGACAAGTACAGACATTTTATCAATATAACCAATGCTGGCAAGAGTCATCAACATGTCATAAAAAGTTCGCCACCACTGAACACTTGGCCTTTGGGCACTAAGTTGTTTGGCTTCTCGTGACAACACAACATGGCCCCTTTAGTCCAACAAAACTTCGAATTCGGTGACATGCAGTTCCTAGTGGCATTGTAAACTGCATTATATTGCCATTCATTTATCAAGGATAGATGTGCACCCACCCACCCCCCTTTTTTTTTCGCACTGCTATGCGCAGAAAAACGAACCATACACAACATAGTTGAAAGTTTAGCCCCTAAAAAAAAAAGCATGCTGTGCTTCTTTTATTTATTTCTTACAGCTTCTAGCTTAGAGATATTAGTTTATATTGCAACCTACCTGCAGGGACTTACAACCTTGCAAACCAAAGAACAGACCCATTTAAACACGTAGCATAACTAAGGGCATGCTAATACCCTGAAATTTGCAGTTTCACATCAAATAGCCAGTATTCATAAGAGCAAATAGTTTGGACTAGTTAACAAATGATTCTGGGTGTTAACTGCACACTAAAAACACGAAATCGGAGCGAAATTGCGATAAATTTCATCCCTACAAACATAAAGTCACAAGACACAAAAGCTTCTGCAGTGCTATAGACTGCTTTGTTCACAGAGCCTGATATTGTAGACTGCTAAATAGTTCCTCATTCTAGAATTATGAACATGAATGTGAGCCATATTTTACATTATTGTCAAGACAGCCACATGTACTTAATATCAGATACTGTCGGTGCTCACTTCGGCCTGAAAATTCTCTATTTGTATGTCCATACTCATGACTACCTGAAATATCAGCTGGAAGATACACAAGACAATTATTTTCATACATCTGTGTTCCAGGAATCCTTTGCACTGGCACCCTACCCATTCATGTTTGAACTACATGTCAAACCAAGGCAAAACACTACCGCCCCACCTTCTGGATCCGCCACTGGTGAAAAGCATACAGTCCAGGCCAAAAGTTCCCAGGCCATACTTCCATAGAAATAGGTGGGATGGTGGCCTGGGAACTTTTGACCCCTCCCCCCCCCCCCTGTACGTGCCTAATGAATGAAGACTGAAGGCCTGTAAAATATCGATTGCGGCACCCGCGCGAGCACTAGCATAAGAGGCCAGGCACAGCGGCGCGTAGTTCCGGATCGCAATTAATGCGACCTGTCAAGCATTAATTGCCACGACCAAAGAGCGAGACATTCGTGAAAACTGAACCTGTCGTACTACGTTGCACGGGCGTTAGTTCATCGGGGGCCGGGGGAAGTTTACGTCTAAGCCCGATTCCTACGCTTACGTAAAAGACAGGAGCGTCAATGCACGAAAGCCGAGAGCGAGCGAAATAGAAAAAACGGCCCTCTTCTACCAGCGAACGAGCGTAGCGAGGCGATAGCAAATAAACAAGCATGGTCCATGTCCCAGCCTCTTCTCTCTTTTTTTTTTTTTTTTTTTTTTACCGTACGGTACCTGTCACGCGCATGAATGCACGCCGGCAACGAACTCCTCCCACATCAGGTGGCGGTTCTCCGGCCATTGACACACACACAACACAACACATGCAACCCGCTCGCTGGCGGTAAAACTCACGAGGTGACGCCGCCGAAGATGCTGTGTACGCACGGTACGAATGACAGCGGTTTCAATTTTCTCGAGGTGCCAGGCAACGTCTTCGATGGCTGTGATGGGGAGTCTGGTAAAAGTGCCAACAAACAGTGTAAGAAGTGCTCGCAAGGGTTCGTGCGCTCTAACGAAGGCGAGTGAACCAAACGGTCGAAAGCCCCGCCAGTAGACGCCGATCGCGAATTGTCGCCAGCGTCGCTAGCGATAGGGATAATTTGTACTGAGGTACCGAGCCTGGGGAGGCGCGAGTGATGCTAGGTACTCTTGCGGATTTCCGTCACGTTTAATGCGGCGAATCTTCCCTCTTCCAGAGAATTTCAAGCCCTTGTTTGAGACGACAAGGAAGAATATGATCTTGGTGGCTGTTTGAGGATTTTTAGAGATAGTGGGGTTCCTGACGACGATCAAAACATGGCGGTAACAGTGCCACTGTGCGCTTTCACTTCTGCAATCGGTTTTAACGCATGCAGCAAGCAAAAGCGCAGCTCTGGGGATTCGCTTCACGTACCGTATTTACTCGATTGTAACGGGGGAGGAGGTTAATATTTATTGTGTTCAGGAAAAAAAAATGTTATTTAGGTTTTCGATCGTAACGCGAACATTGACTTTAGATAGTGATAATCCATAGAAGGAAAAAAAAAAACGCGTTACATTAGAGAGAATACGTCACCTGTACGCGACTGCTCGTTCAACCTGGGGATAGTAAGATGTCCAGTAATTATTTTAAGTGGGCCTGATTGGCTATGGAAACTTGGCTTCCATCTCTACCCAAATAGTTGTGCACGCTGTAAGAGCCAGTTCATTGATTGGACACTTACAGAATACCACTTAAACTTGAAAAACACGTATGCACGATGTATATGTAGCACGTGGGCGCGTATGTATATATATATATATATATATATATATATATATATATATATATATATATATATATATATATTTCACTTACATGCTCCGAAGAAGGCTGGTCCACCAGCCGAAACTGTTAGGATTAAATAAATATTTTATTGTTTTGTTTCCTATACTGCACTATTCTCGAAGTTTATAACTTTTATTACGGTAGCCGGAAGAAACTCTGATCATCTATTTCATATATATATATATATATATATATATATATATATATATATATATATATATATATATATATATATATATATATATATATATATAAGGGAAAGAAGTGTATACCTAAGGGCTCGTTTTTCCGTGTTTTTAACACAATATTAATGAGATATAACAGACAGTAATGCCAAGGAATGTACAGGGGAAGTTATTAAAACCAATGGAATGTAAATAAGAAGAAAGAAAAGTGGTAATTTTTTCATCCACTTTTCTTTCTTCTTATTTACATTCCATTGGTTTTAATAACTTCCCCTGTACATTCCTTGGCATTACTGTCTGTTATATCTCATTAATATTATATATATATATATATATATATATATATATATATATATATATATATATATATATATATATATATATATATATATATATATATATACGATGGTCATGCTCTTCTGAAGTTTGTGGTGTGCAGGAGCATAGGTGCTAGGCCCGATCTGAATGGTTCTAAACATACCACACAAGTTATGTATACATCGTGTTTCAACGAAGGTGCGCCAGTATAATGATAAAAAAAAAAGCTACGCAAGTGAAATATTCTTTCTCCGCCTTCATGATTACTTCTTGCTGTGGCGCCAGAAATGTTAACCCGACGACAAATATTAAGTTGGCAGTAAAACAAAGTAATATATAACCTTTTTTTTTTTCAATTATTGAATACAAGCGGTTTGGTCAGATAGGAGAATTTGAGCCCTTCCTGCGGAGAGCTCGCGTATAACGGCCCTCCTATATTTATGCGTAAAAGAAGCCATCTCGTTTCACCGACGATGTCAGATTGTTGACGACCACTCCCACCGCTATCCTTTGATTGCGAGTGGCACTTGCGTACGTTGCGAGTGCCACTTGGTGCGTTGCGTTTGTGCCCATCAAACGTTGCACGTTTGATGGGCACAAGTGTACCGTCACTAGCTCGTAACAGTATCAAATAAATTTTAAGGTAGCAGAATGACCAACATAGACCACGGAATATACCTATATATTTTTTTTTATTCCGTGGCATAAAAAGGGGCATTCAACTGACTAAATATGAACATTTGGCCTAATACGCCACCCAGGTATACTATTCTCTATCCGAGCACAATTGGTTAGGAACAATACGTTGAATGAGATATGGTGATCAAGCTATAGTAAGTGATGCATAGAGCTGACTACTGGAAACAATACCGAGAACATAAGAAGATCGGTACGGAAACGATAAAATAATGCAAAGAACGTTCACGCTTCAGAGTCACTCATCATTTCAAGCTTTTCCTAACAGTTATACCATTCCAAGGTGTAGGTATATCATAGAGAAATGCAAATTCCTGAACACTCTTGAAGCAACTACGAGAAATAGCTTCTATGCGGATGAGAAGCGTTTTTAATTTTTTTTCATTTTTTCGTAGCATAAATTGATTAGTGTCTCAAAGTGCCTCAGAAACGGCGATTTGGATTATGAAAGGTAGTGATGAAGAATGAAAAACTGGGGGGACAAAGGTAATGACTTAAAGCGTGCATTCTAAGTTGGGAACAATAAATCACCAAAATACTCACGTTCTTGAGTCGTGAAATGACGGTTCATTGTGTAAACATCATTAAAATTAAAGTCATTACGACAGGCAATCAAACCAACGATAGAGATGAACCAGGAAACGATTTGTTCTGCAGAACAGTATGTTTTTCTATAGTGTGCAGAATATATGTGTGAAGCTACAAAATAAATTCAGCGGATAATCTCCACAGAATAGAGATTAACGGGTGATGTTTTTTTATGAAGACTATAACTGTCACGAATATAACATCAAATTTCGGTTGCCTCTGCGAATTTTCATCTCGGCATGTATGGGTGTATATTGCAGTTTCTGCAGAGATATGAAATAAAAAGTGGATACACTTCGGCTCTGATCCTTGAGAATTCCGGAAACTGCCACCTGAACCAGTATTTGTGGCCGCAAGTGATATAATACACCCGAGTAATCACTGGTGCTGAAACCAATTTAAGCTTATCATTTTGATTGTGTCACGCCAGATGCCCGTTCGAGAGAGGGCCCTAAAGTTAGTTTTTATTGTTTTATTGATATGTGGGGTTTCACGTCCGAAAACCAACGTTGGAGGGCTCCGGAAATTTCTACCACCTAGGGTTGTTTTAACATGCCCTCAAATCTGAGCACA